CGAGCAAGCTTTGCATAATAACGCTGTGGTAAATCATTGTTTTCAAAACTTTATTGCATTTTTATTTAATTTCATACAAGCAATGGATGAAGCTTTATCTAACATGATGATTCAGAAATTAAACGCCTAGTCAGCACTCTATTCTTATAAAAAACGTGTCCTCATAGTTACATATGTTTGTATTGCCCGTATCACGGGTTAACTCCTCTTCTTTCCTTCTCATTCTGTTTGTTCTCTCACTGATTTCTCTTTTTTTCGCATATTCGTCTTACGATTGTTCCGAACATGGTCGGTAGGAGGCTGTACTGATGATTCCCGCTTCTAGTCCGCATGCATAGTTCGGTCTTTGTTTACAGCTAAGGGATGAAACACAGACTGCATCGTAAAATTTCTTCTTACACATGACATTTAAGCCCAGTCCCTCTATCCTACTGTTTCTTGCTTTGAAAGGAAGAAAGAAAGGAAGAAGGAATAAATTTGCGGCATTAAAAATTACCTTTTTCAGGCAATGGATTTGTTGCAACGGGCTCTGAAAATTTCGCCTGATAATACCGCTTGCCGATTCTACCGTGCTCGTCTTCTCTATGAACTTCATGATTATGTTCAGTGCCGCGATGAACTGAATGACCTTAAGCGTAGTGCTCATGACGAAGCACAGGTCTTTTTTTTTTTGATTTATTTCTAATTTTCAAGTCTATTAGTTCTGGTAAGCTGTCTTTTGTCGTAATTCAATAGGAGTATCGCTCCGGACAATGTGGTAACACTTAACACACATGAAAACTAGCAGAACAGAGGGATTGGACTTAAGTGTCATGTGTAAGAAAACATTTGACCATGCAGTCTTTGTGTTTCATCCCTTAGCTGTGAACACTTTCAAACAACTAAAAGTTTGTTCAGTAGGGGTAATAAGCACTGTTGACAATCTTTTCCGAGTATTTTGTCGAAACAAGATATACTGATGGCTGAGGGGGCGGAGGAAGGTTGCGATTGACTGTGATTTTATACTGTCTGTGTTTACAGCTAAGGGATGAACAATTAGGCAGACCAACTTCTGCATATTCCTCTTTACATGACTTTTCAACGTGTCACACGATTTTGTATCCCACTAACGGTCCTACTATTTTCTCTTCATAATCTTTCCACTATTCTTACCTTACATAAATATTCATGGATCACGGCCGTCCTGTATTTTCGACGGTTCGGACTGGCCATTTACTTGGGAAATTACGGTTCGGCCTACCAAGGACGGCAAATTGTTTATCGACTCGACCCACTCCGACTGCTCCACTTGCACAGTCCACTTATGATTCGACCTTCTAGTGGCCATTGCACCTCATACTTAGATTTTCTCCCGAGGAGGAATGCTGGATGTATCGTATCTCGTGATCGCACGTGTAGTCTTTTGAAGTAAATATCCAAATATCCACGT